GTCTAGCCCCGCATTTTACAGTGGGTAGACTGTAGCCCAGGGAGGGGATGTAACCTGCCAGAGTCTCCCAGTGCATGGGGGAGAGAGCCAGAACAGACCCCAGATCTGAGTCCTGCCAATTGAAGGGGTGCGTGAGTGGCAGCCCATCTTGTACCTGGGGGTGGTGTCCTTGGGGCATTACCAGTCCCCAGAAAGAGAGGAGGTCTCTTGCCTTTGTCTCTTCATCTATAAAGATGGAGCCAGGATGCTCAGAATACAAGCTCCAACGAGGTAAGGAATTTGTCCTTTTTTTTTTTTTAAATCGTATCTTGTCTCCAGCAAGGAGGCTGGGTGGCACAAGCTGGTTTGCACTGGGTGCTAACCTAAAGGTTGGCAGTTCAAATCCACCCATTGGCTCTGTGGAAGAAAGGCATGGCAAACTGCTTTCATAAAGATCACAGCCAAGAAAACCCTATGGAGCAGTTCTGCTCTGTAACACATGGGGTGGCCATGAGTTGGAATCGACTCAATGGCAATGGGTTTGAGTTGTTTGGTTTTTCTTATCTCCAGCACCTAGAAGAATGCATGCAGCTGGCGCTTAATAAGTGTTGTTGGATGAATGAAAGGACACGTGTTTAATAATGGTGACACTGATGGCTGACATTCAGTGGGCAATTCTATGTCGGTGTTGTTCCAACTACTTTACACCAATATTCTTTTAATCCTCACCATAATCCCTTGTAGAGAGTGCTAGTAGCATCCCCATTTTACACATGAAGAAACTGAGGGTCAGAGAGGTTAAGTGACTTACCCAAGATCACCAAGTAAGAAAGCGGTGAGCCCAAGACTCAAGCCTAGAGCATCTGCACTCTTAACCATTATCATGGACAGAGAAGCACTTTACAAAGTCCACTGCCTTTAGAACCGATAAATGTTGCTGAGGTCTATACTAGCGGCAGGGTGCCCAGCATTGAAAGACAGTGCGGTGTGGCTGTAAGGGGTCAGATTTTAGACTTAATTAAGCAGAGGTGGGCTTAAATCCTGGCTCTGCCACTTGCTACCTGTGAGCATAAGAAAGTGATAAAACTTCCCTGAGCCTCAGTTTCTTCATCTGTAAAATGGGGGTAGCAATGGTATTCACTTCCCAATGTTGTTGGGAGGGTTAAATAAATCCATCATCTCAAGTGCCAGTCTCAAAAGGGACACTTAATAAACATTCGCTCCCTCAAGGAAATCCAAACCTTCAAAGTTTTATGTTTTAGGAGTGCTCAGGCACTTGGCTTATTTACACCACCTCCTCCCTCCTCTGTTTTAGTTTGCAATCTCAGGCAGATATCTTTTACCCTAACTACCAAGTTTACTCCAAGGGATGTTGCTGTGAGAAGTTAGAAACGATAAAAGGAAAACTGTTTTCTCAGCATGTGATATAAGCCTCCAACCCACCATTACACTTCTTCTGCTTTTACCGAGAGTTCCTACGGGTCAGACCCCCGGGGGTTTCTTCCCCAAAACGAGCCAGCTGAGATGGCAGCATTGATTGATGTGCGTGGAGGTGATCAGCACCTTCAGGACCAGACGTGCCCCATGCCTCTGTGGCCCGGCTGCCCTGAAGGCACTGGGCAGCATCAGCAGCTGGTCCTCAGAACAGGACTGCTTTCAGATGATGTCCCCAGAGGGCAAATATGAAATCCAAGGCACGCGTGCTAGGGGAGAGAACATCATCTTTCTATGCAAATGCAAGCGCAGTCTTAAAAGCAGAACGCCTGCCCTCCACACAGTCCTCTGTGCCATCTTCGGCCAGCCAGCTCTGAATTATCTCAACAGAAAGACAAGCTCACTGGGGGCTGCACGCAGCGGACTCTCTGGGCAGCACACAAAAACAGTTTCATTAGAGAGAAAACATAAAGCTATTGAGACTGGAAATGGGCGCAAATCCCTCTCATTTCACGGATAGATGTGGCCATCTGATTCCTCGGCTCAAACTTCAGCTGCCCAGTTCTGCAGACCTCTCTCCCGCCTCTAATTGGATATCCTTAGTCACGTTAAACCAGGCCTGCATTCATACCCTTCATAATTTCAAAGCACTAGGCTTTGCAAAGTGCTTGTCCCTCTGCACAATCTGAACCCTGGCTCCTCCAAGGCTTCCCTCTCTCCGGAAATCCTGTAGAGGGACAGGTTTGGGGTGGTCCAGGGGTTCTTTGCCACCTGGGACTGGGCACCCGTAAGGAATGGGGTGAGGAAGCTGCTTGGTTTGGTGCTAGTGTTTTAACTGCAGAGTCCACATGTAAACAGCTCTGTAGACAAGCAGGCTCCTGACTCACATGATTTTGTGCTGAAGAATGGAAAATGCCTGTGATTGGATCAGCAGTCTGTCCAGGCAGAAAAAAGCTGTTCGTAGGTTCAAGCATTTTGGTTGGTTTGTTTTAGGGCGAAACATTTATAGGTTGGACAAGACACATTTTATTTAACAAATATTTATTGAGAGCCCACTGCATGTGAGGCCCTGGGCTGGCTCTTCATCCTAGTCCTTTCTATCTGGAAAGTTCTCCGACTCTACCATGTTGCCTTTGGATATATCTTTAAAGGAAGGAAAACTGGTGTCGACTGACTACTGTTAGGAGCCGCATACAGCATGCATGGTCTTATATATGTATTTTGTTCATAGGCTGTCTGTACCTACTATAATGTAACTCCATAAGTCACGGCAATGAGGAGCCATGGAGGAGTATAGAGCAGGAGAGGAGCAACATTTTAAACTAGGAAACAACCCAGTTCTCAGTTTGAAGTTCTTCACCAACCTTCCTAACAAAGCTTTGGTTGTCATCTCACATCTCAGACCATCTGGTCCCCCGAGGAGTCTTGGGGTCTCCCACAGCTCCCAGGAAAGAGAGTTTGTGAGTGGGCAAACCAAGCTGTTTGCACGGGCCTCCTGGTGTAGGGTCACTTACAAGTCACCGCGTCTCTGAGTTCCCTGTCCTGTGAGACTGGCTGACAGACTCATAGTGAAGTAGCAAGCAGGAAAACTCAGGGCTGAGACTCTGCCATATTGGCGTCTTTACTATGTGACCTCGAGGAAGCCAAACGTCCTGTGTCTCAGTGTCTTCATTGAAAACAGAGCTAGGACACCCATGAGAATGTCAGCTCAAGAAGGCAGGAATTTTGCCTGGCATAGTGTGTGGCACAAAGCAGCTGCTCAGTACAGGCATGCTGAGCACAATTGAATGCTTGAACCCTCATAGCAACGTCACCCATTTTATGAAGAAGGAAACTGAGGCTCAGAGAGGTGGGAGAGGCGAGACTGGGCCTGCCAAGCCCACTAGGACCTGGCATTGCTTTGTCAATAACCAGAGTCCAACGACCAGAGACAAGATCATGGTAGACAGGACCCCGGTATGACTTTCGTGGTACCTAGGCATTTTTGCCTTCATGAGCCCCTTCCTCCATAAAAAAAAAAAAATTAAAAATTATTTTTTGTGACTAACTTAGTATAGGGATAAATACGACTCAAACTGGGTTATAATAATTTTTTTTTCTGATTAAAAAAAATTAAAACATTTTTGGCTGCTAACCAGAAGATTGGCAGTTCAGACCTACCCAGTGGCTTTGTAAGAGAAGAACTGGCCATCTGCTCCTGTAAAGATTACAGCCAAGAAAACCCTGTGGGGTAGTTCTACTCTGTCATAGGGGTTTGCTATGAGTCAAAATTGACTCAATGGTACCTAACAACAATAACAAAAGTCTCGTGGGCCCTAGGCACTTTTGCTTCCATGGACCCCTTCCTCCAAAAAAATTATTAAAAATTATCTTTTACAACTACCTTGGTATAAAACCAGGAATCAAACCCCTTACCATTGAGTCGATTCCTACTCACAGTGACCCTATAGGACAGAGTAGAACTCCCCCACAGGGTTTCCAAGGCTGTAAATTTTTACAGAAGCAGACTGCCACATCTTTCTCCCATGGAGTGGCTGGTGGGTTCGAACCTCTGATCTTTTGGTTAGCAGCTTAGTGCTTAACCGCTGTGCCACCAGGGCTCCTGCTTTGGTATAGAGATGAAAATAATCCAACGTCTTGTGGGCACTTTTGCTTCCATGGACCCCTTCCCCCCAAAAAATTATTAAAAATTATCTGTTACTATGGCCTTGGTATAAGATAAGGAGCCCTGGTGGAGCAATGGTTAAGCACTCAGCTGCTAATTGAAAGGTCAGTGGCTCAAACCCACCAGCTGCTCCATGGGAGAAAGATGTGACAGTCTCCTTCCTTAAAGATTACTGCCTTGGAATCCCTATGGGGCAGTTCTACTCAGTTTTATAGGGTTGCTGTGAGTAGGAATCAACTCGAGGGCAATGGGTTTTGATATAAGATGAATACAGTCCAAACTGGGTTATATTCATTTCTTCTTTCCGATTTTCATGGGCCCCAGGCACTTTTGCTTCCGTGTACTGCTTCCTCCAAAAAAAAATTACTAAATATTATCTTTCACTATTGCCTTGACATAAAGATGAATATAATCCAAGCTGGGTTATAATAAATTTTTTCTTCTGATTAAAAAATAAAAAATTAAAACAGTTTTTGTGGGGCTGTAAAAGTCTCACAGCAGCCCTGGTGGCTCAATGCAGTTTGAACCCACTCAGAGGCTCCAGGAGAGAAAAGACCTGGCCGTCTGCTCCCATAAAGATTACAGCCTAGGAAACCCTATGGGGCAGTTCTACCCCGTCACACGGGTTCGAAATGAGTCAAAATCGACTCGATGGCATCTAGTAAGAACAACAAAAGTCGCGCAGGCTCTAGGCGCTTTTGCTTCCATGAACCCCTTCGTCCAAAAAAAAATTATTAAAAATATCTTTCTCGAGTGCTTTGGTATAAGGACGACTATAATCCAAACTGGGTTATATTCATTTTTTCCAACTGATTTTAAAAGACACTAAAACATTTTTGTGGACTCCCGAGTGGCCGTGAGCCCCAGGCGCTGTGCCCACCGAGCGTGATGCAGAAGTGGACACTGACCAGCGGCCACTCACCTTGTCCTCCTCGGCCCTCAGGTCGGGCATGGTGCTGACGCACAGGCTGACCGCCGTGGTGGCCACGAAGAGGATGGACAGGCACGCGAAGACCTTGCCGGGGAGCCCTGACTGAGGGTTGTCCACCATCTCCCGCAGGCGGTCCATGAGGAGCCCCCAGCGCGAGGGGTCCTCCACGGGGCCGCTGACCTCGCTGTGCCGATGCAGCTTCTCCTCGTTGTGCAGCTCGGCCAGCTCCTCCAGCCTCTGCAGCAGCTTCTGCAGGCAGCACCGCTCCAGCCTGGCCTCCTCGATGCCCCAGTAGGTGAGCTCCTCCCGGAAGGATAGTGCGCACATGTCTCGCAGCAAGACCAGCTTCCCGGCCGCCAGGAAGCTCACGATCACCCCAAAGGCACTGGGGCTCCTGTCGAAGAAGAACTCCTGGCGGCCCTCATCATAATCGTCGCACAGCTGGGTGATCTCCTCGTAGTTACGGCAGAACTTGAGCTTGCTCAGGCGGCTCAGCGGGAACTCGTCCAGTGTGCTCCAGGGAAGGAGGTACCGCCTGCCCCCCACGTTGACCAGAATCTCCTCCTTGAGGTCAGCTGCAGGGCACGTGTCCAGGGCATCCACCTTCCGGACCCTGTGGTAGTACAGGCCCTTGGTGGATGGCGGCTCCAAGGGGCCAGGCAGGAGCTGACTGAAGGAGCTACAGGAACTGTAGGGGTGGTTTCTGGAAGGCATGGACATTGCCAAGATGCCCCGATAGACGATGTGGATCTACCCGTCTGACACCCAAAGGGAAAAGAGCAAGAGGAAGGGGGAGCAATCAGTCTCAGGGCAAAGAATCCCTGCTCTCACGAACATTGTCTTACATTTGCTTTCCTACAACTGCATTGACATAATTCATTCTTTTAACCACTCACTCTGCATGTATTTACGGGGACTACTATGTGCTCACGAGCAGCCACCACTCGTCTGTCAGGGGAGGCTGGCATGTTGCTATGATGCTGACCAGGTTTCAGCAGAGCTTGCAGACTAAGACTAGGAAGAAGGGCCGAAAACCAGCCAATGAAAATCCTATGAATCACAGCAGTCTGATCCACAATTGATCGTCGGGATGGCACAGTACTCCACAGTGTGTCGTTCCGTAGTATATGGGGTTGCTATGAGTCAGGGGCCATCTCAATGACAGCTAGCAACAACCATCCCTACATGCTTGGGATGTATCAGTGAACAAAACGAGACAAAATCCCTTCCCTTCCCTGGTGGAGCATAGACTCATATCTCAGTAGACTCTCTCTGGAACAGACATTACGTGGTTTGGGATTTGAGTAATTTGCTCCTGAGCTGGACAAGTTTGAGCTGTGCCCCTCAAGGCTGTGTGGTCTTGGGCATGTGGTCTCAGTGTTATTCATTCAAATTACAAGACATGTACCAACCTTGCAAGATACCAAAAAAACAAAAAACAAAAAACAAACTCGTTGCCATCGAGTCGATTCTGACTCATAGTGACCCTATAGGACAGACTAGAACTGCCCCATAGGGTTTCCAAGGAGCGGGTGGTAGATTCGAACTGCCAACCTTTTGGTTAGCAGCCGAGTTCTTAACCACTGCACCACCAGGGCCCCTTGCAGCGTGTAAAAATAGAGCCTCAGAGTGTAAGCTCTCAAGTCCACTGCCCTCACTGAGTGTCACCATGGTGGCTTACTCCCATCAAACCCCTTGCTTGGTCTGTACAACTGGGATGGTGATAATGTACATGAAGTGTGCATAAAGAACACTTCTAGATGCTTCTGATGGGCTAGGCACCGTTCTCCATCCTTTCCTCACATGAACTCATCTCAGCAACCCCATGAGGCAGACATTAGCATCTTCATGTTACAAGGGAGGAAATCAAATCACAGAAGGTTTAAGTAACTTGCCTGATGTTTAGCCTGACATGGAGGAAAACTCAGGAAATGCTAGTTCTGGAAGGTTCAATGAGACAGGACTATGATGTGCTCTGCACAGTGTCTGACTCTCAGTAGATGCTCCACAACCACCAGCCTCCTCCTCCTGTTTGCTTTCTCTCTTGGAGGACTTTGCTAGGAGGGTGGAGAGGCATCCTCATGCCTCCGATGACAGCACTCCTCCTGGTTTACTGGGTGCTTGTCTTGCCACCCTTGCTGTGTGACCTTGAGCCAGTCGCTCCCCCTCTCTGGGCCTTGGTCTCCTTATCCGCAAATGAAGGAACCTCTAATAGTGCTCTCTCCATTCCAGACCTATTGGGGCTCTTGGCTTAGCATAAACGCTTTAGATTCAGCTAGCCCATGCATTTAGTTAAAACACTTTCTCCACAATCATTCTCAGCCTGCGTACCCTGCAACCATTTCCTAGGCTATTCTTCCCAGCCAGGCTGTTTGCAAAGCATCTGTAACCCTGCATTGCAAGACGCATTCCAATCAAGAGGAAAACTTGGCAGCTGAATGGAAATAGAAGTTCCTCTCAATTCCAGAGCCGGTTGGATTCTTGCGGACAAGGAGTTGAATCAGCTTATGCATTCACACTTGCTCACCCTCACAGCATCCTGGAATTCTGCATATATTACTTTGTTCATCACGCAGGGCCAGGGGAAGGTGAGTAGCCTCCAGAGAGAACAGTCCTCTGAAATCCAGGGAGCCCTTCCCCCAAGCTTTCTCATTTTCTCAGTGCAAAAACCAAGACTCAGAGGGCTCCAGTGACTTGTCCAAGGTCACACAACAAACCTCAACCCAGTCTAGGATGCTGCCTCCCCACCTGGGGCTCTTTCCAAAACCCAAGAGCTGTCCTTTCTGTATTCACTGTACAAACTCAACTTTTCAATGCACTCCCCCCTGAAACAGCTGGCCAGCAAAGCTCCTCTCAGTGCCTGGGAAAGGTACTCCAAACAGCCCTCTTGGAAATGATGTGTAACAGCATCTGGTCCCTTCCTGCAAACCCCTGCCCCTGCATCAAACACCAACTTCCCCGAAGTTTAACTCACCCTCCTGCCTCAGGGAGCCTGATTCCAGCTGTTCCTTGGCCACGCAGGGGGAGCCCATATCTCAGTGGCCGGGGAAGAGGTCTGTGGTGGAGCTGAAGGGAAAGAGAAAATCCCAAACACAGCAGTCTTTGGCAGAGTTAGTTTCCAACCTTTCTTGTGCCTCCTCTAGAAAGCAGAAGTTCATTCATTCTGCGTCTCTCTCTCTCCCTCTCCGGTAGCTGCAGAGAGTCCTAGTTAGGTTTGTAAAAGGACACAGAAGCCTCTTTCCTCCCGAGAGGTGAGGGTCTGGGGAGTCCGTGCTATAAGGAGCCAGCCGAGCGCGGGCTGGGAGGTTTGCTTCATCAGCGGGCTCTGCGCTCCGAGTCCCACAGGGACAGCCAGTGTGGTCCTGCAAGGGAAGGCGGATGGAGAGAAAGGAGAGCTTAGAAATAATCTCTCCATCAGCCAACAGCAGGCAGGAGCAGCAGCCACCCTGCCAACTGCCTGCAAGGCAAGGAGAGCAGTCCTTGCTCCCCTGCCAAGGAGGAGCATGACTTACTTGGAAGTGGCCAAGGGCAGCTTGGGGCCCAGGGCACCTGCAGCTACCTGTCCCCAGGCATCTGCGAGGCTCCTGGGGCAGGGGTGCTGATGATAGTAAGGCGCTCAGGTTGAAGCTGCAGGTGAAACATTTTGCTGCTTTTTAAGGCCTAGGACAGGTCCAAACAGAAAAGCCCAGCCTCCAAGCTAGGGGTGGAAGTCTGGGAAGCTGCCTTAAGGAGTGGGAAGAGGTGTGAGCTTGGCAGTCATACACACCTGGAACCCCAGCTCCAATGTGAAAGACTGCGTTAGGGACCGAATTGTACTCCTCAAAAGATATTGTGAAGTCCTAACCTTTGCACCTGTGAATGTGACCTTGTTTGGAAATAGGGTTTTTCTTTTGTTAAGTTAATGAGATCATACTGGAGTAGAGTGGGTCCTAATCCCTTCTAAGGGTGTCTCATAAAAGGGGAGAACAGACATGTAGACAGAGATACATACAGAGGGAAGACGCCACGTGAAGATACATCTACAAGCCAAGGTATGTCAAGAGATGCCCAGGGCTACCAGAAGCTGGAGGAGACAAGGAAGGATCTTCCCCTAGCGCAGGCAGAGAGAGAGAGACAGCACGTGGACCTGCCGATGCCCTGAATTTAGATTTCCAGCCTCCAGAATTGTGAGACAATACATTTTTGTTCTCTAAAGCCATCCACTTTGTGGTGCTTTGTTATGGCAGCTCTAGGAGACTAAGATAGGCTGCGTGACCTGGGGCAGGTGACTTAGTACCCTCTGAGCCTCAGTTTTCTTGTTTATTAAAAAAAAAAAAATGGAAGGGGAAGTTGTTGCTTTGGGGGCACTGAGTTTCTGATAATGGTGGTGGAATAATTTGGAAATGGAAATGGATAGTGGGGATGGTTCTACAACATGGTGAACATAATCAGTGCCACTGAATCATACATGCAAAAAATGTTGGATTAGCAAATGTTTTGTTCTATATATTTTTACCACAGTAAAGTAATTTTTAAAAACTGGAATGGGGGAGTTCAGACAGAGGCAAGTCCAAAATCACAATAGTTAAGTGCCTACCGTGCGTTTGGCTATGGGTTGGTAAAGGAGGAGGAAGCACGGACCCAGGGTCTGGGTCCTGGCTTTGGTGCCACCACTGCATTGCTGTGTGTCCCTGGTCAGTCACTTCACCTCCTGAGCCTCAGTTTTCTCACCACTCAAATGAGGACAGTCGAGCAGGAGATGGCTGAAATTGCAGAACCATCTACTAATGTGATGGTCAATATATATTGTCCTCGCCTTAATTTTCTTAAGAGATCTTGATGCCCAGTCTCTTAGCTTCTGGAAGCTGAGTTATTATTATCAGGTCCATTTTACAGACTGGACCCTGAGGTCTAGAGAAGGGGCTTGCTCAAGGTCACCTTGCTGGTTAGAATCTTCACTCAGCAGATGGGAGGATCCAGGAGAGCAGGGGATCGAGCTTGAGCCTTCCACAGGTACCTGGAAGGGGCTTCAGGAGCTGCTTCCTGGTGGCCTGCTGTGGTCTGGTCAGTGGGGCCGAGTCCAGGCAGGAGCTGAGAAGTTAATTGTGTGGATATCGTCTAGTGTAGTCGTTTTCAAACGGATTGCTTAAAGCCCCGGGGTTCTGCAGAAATGATTGAGGAGCCTGGTGTGGGGGGTGCACCTGAGTTTCCTAGAGCTGCTGCAACACAGTGCCACAACTGGGTAACTTAAAACAACAGAAATTCATTCTTTCACAGTTCTGGAGGCCAGAAGTCCAAGTCAAGGTATTAGCAGGGCTCTGCTCCCTCTGAAGTCTCTAAGGGAGGAGCCTTTCTAGCCTCCTCTAGCTTCTGGTAGCCCCAGGCGTTCCTTGGCTTCTGGTAACATAACTCCAATCTCTGTCTTCACATGGCCTCTCCCTGTCTGTCTGTGTACAAATCTCCCTCTCCTTTCTCTTATAAAAGGAGCCTGGTTGCACAGTGGCTAAGGTGCCCGGCTGCTAACCAAAAAGGTTGGTGGTTCGAACCCACCAGCTGCTCTGCGGGAGAAAGATGTGGCAGTCTACTTCCATAAAGATTTATAGCCTTGGAAACCCTACAGGGCAGTTCTAACCCGTCCTATAGGGTCAGTCTGAGTCGAAATTGACTCAATGGCAATGGGTTTGGTTTTTTGAGGTTTTCTTTTATAAGGATACCAGTCAGTGGATTTGGGGTCCACCCTA